CAGGCCAGCTGGGGCTACAAGGAGATCCTATCTCAAAATAAATAAATCACACCTGTAATCCCAGCATTTGGCAGCCTAAAATAGGAGGATTACTGAGTTCCAAGACAGAACTATATATTGAAATCTTGTCTTGAACAAAGGAGGAAAAAACTGTTTCCAGATTAAAAAGTACAAAAAGACATACATGTTGGGGAAAAAGTTACAGTAAAGATGCATGGACTAGAAAAAGTACATATGCTTCACTTTCACAAGGACATCCAGTTAGAGAATGCAAAATGGAAAGAATCAAAATCTTCTTAGAACATGCCAAACAGGCAATAAATCACACCTGTAATCCCATCCTGGGGAGGTGGAGGCAGGTCGTCAAAAATTCAAGGCCATTCTCAGCTACATAGGAAATTTGAGGCCAGCCTGGGCTGAAAAAGACCTGCTCTTCAAAAACCGTTTTTGAGGGGCTCAAGAGATGTGGCTCAGCGGACCCGGGTTCAATTCCCAGCACCCACATGGCGGCTACGAACTGTCCTTAACTCCAGTTCCAGGGGAATCTGAAGCCCCCTTTTGACCTCCGCGGCATTGTATGATACGGGTGCACTCACGCACATGCAGGCAATACACTCATACATATAAAAATAATATTTAAAAAAAAAGAAGATAGCCGGGTGTGGTGGTGCACGCCTTTAATCCCAGCACTTGGGAGGCAGAGGTAGGCGGATCTTTGTGAGTTCAAGGCCAGCCTGGTCTACATAGTGAGTTCCAGGACAGCTGGGGCTACAGGGAGACCCTGTTTCAAAAAGACCAAAAATAATTATCTTGTTTCTTTAATTTGCCTTCACAGGTATTACTTTTTCTTAATTCTTTGAACTTTAACTATTGTGACTCGTTTAGCCTAAGCTGCACACCTAAATATGCTCATAAATATAAACATATATTCATGTATGTATTAGCATACCAGTCCAGCAGTTAAATAAAATTTCCATTAGACATGGTGGCACATGCCTGTCATTTGAGCACCCAAGAGGCAGAGGCAGGAGTGCCATGAGTCTGAGGCCAGCCTGGACCACATAGGAAATTCTGTGCAAGGCTGGGCTATGTAATGAGACCTTGTCTGGGGGGAAAAAAACAAAAAGAAAAAACAAAAAACAAGAAATATTTCTTACCTTTTCCACTCAGAAATTTGACGGAAGTACGACAGTTTTTCTTTTAATGTTTGGCACTACAAAGTAATGATTAGAAGAGCATCTTTTTTAAAAAAGATTTTAAAATTATGTGTATGCCTGTGTGTGGGTATATGCACATGTATGCAGTGACCATGGAGTCCAGAAGAGGGCATTGGATCCCCTGGAGTTGAAGGTACAGGTGGCTGTGAGTCACCTGATATGGGCACTAGAAATATACTTAGAAATTATAACTGCAAGAGCAGTATGTACTCTTAACTGCTGAGCCATCTCTTTAGGCACCTAGAACATCTCAAGAGCTAGGTGTAGTGCTGTAATTCCACCACTTGGGAGCCTGAGGCAGAAGGATCTGGAGTTAAAGGCCAGTCTAGGATATATATA